TGAAACTGCATCGAAGAATCACCCCACTGAACGCGAAGCCTATCTGACTTTCAACACAATCTTCCTTACCCCCAACACTAACCCTGACAAGGAGAACAAATATGAGCATGCATCTGAGTGCCCAATGTATAGTTTTCCGTCGTACTTTTATTTGTATCTCCTCTTTAAAGCATCGAATTTATTAAGTATGTTTTTGGTGAACATTAATTATAGTCGGATTTGAGAACACGCGCTATATCAATGAGGATTTCTGTGCCAAGGGCAACACTGTTCCTATGACATGGACTTTTCTACGTGACACAAGTGGCAAACCCGCAGTAATTATTTTAAAATACCCTTTCTTGTTAATTTAACAGTCAAGGCCTGATAGGTGCATCGTATTTCCTAAAATAAAACACAGCATAGAAGGTGTAGGCCTTTGTAAGTAAAATGCAAATCCTGCGTATGCATGGAAAAAATACGTTAGGAACCCTCTGACGGCTAACTTCCATATATCTCCATTAGAAAATGTGCACTTTCTAACAAACAGCTTTCATCTGGTTAACTGCAATACTGTTGACAGCATGATGAACATATAACCGACTGATCACTCTAGACTTGAAATAAGAAATAGTTACTTGGTGTGCAATTTATTATAGCTGACGTGCAGATCTTCAAAGGGTCCTCTCTGTTCCACACCAAGGACGAATGATGCTGTCGAATTGTGTCGTAAGTCTACATTTTAGCAGATACTTCAGGTGTTTGAACTTCATCGTTCAGACTACGGCTATTATTTAATTATGTTACCATTTAATTCTCAAAATATTTTTTGTAGACATGGAGGAGAATGGAGGGTTATTAACCTATAAGCACATTGCAGAACGGTCTGAGGAAAACACGGTGATATACAACTGCGTTCTTGATGGCCTCGCTTTCACAACGAAAGTTGTGCACTGGCTCGGTAAGGAGAGCCCTTTCTAAGATCTTTTCTGCATTTCCCTTCACTATTATAAAACGCATTCTAGTAACCAATATTCGCTTCTGCCAATTGTGATTTAGGATGAATTTTTCCTCCGAGAACACCTACGGATGAAATTGCTCCTACATTTGGTGATGGGAAGAGGAACTTATTTTTTAAAATCTGGTGGACGGTTAATTAGCCTAAAATTTCCATTCTTCCTTCTCGTGTGGAAAAGTCGAGATATGCTCCAAAGTTCTCATACAGATATAGGTTGATGGGAAATGGATTTGTAGGACCGATCTAGATATCCATCCCCCCTGCGCAACTGCTTAACTTATTTTGTAAGCAAGCATTTAATTATTGTCCAGTGAGCGTAAGTTAATATGTGTGTGTGTGTGTTAGTTCGACCATCGCAAGCGAAGATGTCCACCATTTA